GGAGATGAGAGACGTAAGGGCCGGGAGAAGGGGCCAGAGTTACCCCTTCGGGTTTTAACCCATCCGGGCCCAAACACCCCCGTTTCCCCCTCTTTTTGCAGCAGCAGGTTCACGGGTGTTCACAGCCAAAAGCTGCTTTCCTCTTGCCCTCAAGAACTCACGGGTATACGGCCCGGGTCCTTGCGTTAGGGCACCGAAAAGCACCCGGCGAGCCCAGTGTCTCCCACAGAGCCGGGGTCGAGAGTCACCCACATCCCAGCACCTTCGTACCTCCATCCCCTCTCGCCTTCCAGACCTTTCGGTCGAGTTTTTAACGTCCCTGGATGTTACAAAAGACATAAAGAAGTAGCGTCCAACAAATGTTTGAGGTTATACTGTAAATATCGGGGGACTGAGAGCTATGTGCGCCAACAGCTTGCTGACCAGGCGTTGGTAAACACGCTCAGGTATAGTGATGTTTTCTTTATTTCTAGGTGGAAAGCTATGTGGGTCACGTCCGTAACCTGACGGAGGAACGGGACGCTATCACCACCGAATATGAAAAAGAAAACGAACAGCTCAGGCTTGAGCTGACGGGGCTGCAGCTGCAGCAGGGTAATCCTTTCCCTCCAAAACACGGTCCGAGGAGATGCGTTAACAGGTAGTGGTGTACGGGTCTTTCGGCAGCGCTGGTTTAAAGCTTCCTTGAGAGCAGAGCAGCGTTTTTCAGTGAGTTCTGCTAGACCAGCGTGCGTGGTATGTTGTTTGGGAGGTTGGCAGAAGTGTTAATGAAATATTAGAACTGATTTGTAATTGACTTAGAGGTTCTTGTCTGCTTTTACTGCCTTTATTCAGTGAATCGGGCAGTTTCTCACTTCATGTGGCTCCGTTGTTGCACTAAGCATCTTCCAGAGGCTGTTTGAAGAACAGAATTGATGGTGCTGTTTGTTTTCCAGCTCTAAACTATTTGACAGTGACTCCTCGGGTAACTTGAGTGTTGAGCTGTGTTCCTGCTGAAGTCAGTGAATTTGCCGTTGGCTTTGGTTTAGACAAAGTCCACGTTTTTTAAAACAACTTTGAAGGACGGTGGTATGTTCGTGATGGCGATTCAAAACTTGTCCTGTGTGCTTATTTTAGTATAGTCATTTTGTTTAAAACAAATTATTTCACTTATATTTCACTTGAAATGATTTGCTTTCTTCTCAAACCCTGGAATCGCTTCCAGTAAGGGCAAATATATTTTGCTGGGTTTAGTTCTTTAGTCTTCCTAGTCTTCTGTTGTGCTTTGAGTGCTGCTAATAGCACACCGTTATCATTAACTCCTCCTTTTGTGGTGTGTATTATCCTCGTCTTAAGGTAAAATTGAGGGTGATAGCACAGCTTGAACAGTTTCTTTGTTACGCAGGCTTTATCTGGGGAGGCAAATATGGGAATTGGGGGAAATTGATTGCAGTTTTGAGTCTCTGTTCAGTTTTGGCCAACCTGTGGGTTTCAGGGAGTGCATCTGATGGAGAGACTTTTCAAAGGCGGGTGTGCTTAAGCACTGCCTGAAAATCTGGTTCCTCTGGGCATGTAAAGCCATCGTTTAGTGTTGAAAATGCTGCTACGCAAGGGTTTAAATGACTAATGAGCCTTTGCGAGCATTGCTGTGGCAGAAAACTTTATTACTGGTTCTTCTCTCATCTTCCCCACAAGGTGGCAGGCGAATGACAAAAATGTCCCAAAAGCTGGCTTTGCGTTTGTTTCCTCGTAGTGGCTCTTCTCCTTTGGACTTTTTCCATTTTTTAAGTACTTTTGTGGCTGTCGAGCAATGATTAACACTCGAATGGAAAGAGAGATCCATGGCTGTGGATCTAAGTGTATCCGTGTCCGTGATGGGTTGCTAATTGCGATCAAGTTGTTACCAGCCTGCCGTCCTTGAGGGGTTTGTGCGGTTCTGCGGTGCTTTGGTGCCGTACGGTGTTTCCGTGCAGCTTTCTGGAGGAGTTTGGTTTGGGGTATCACTGTCAGACTTTGGTTTTTAAGATTTGTTATTGCCTTACTGGTGGCATGAGCAGCGGTCCTGCAATATGCATTGATAATTCAGTGATCTGGGCAGTGGATGAAGCCCAGCCTTCCACCAGGCTGTCCTCCGCAGTGAGGGATGCCAGCCCTGATGTGTTTTGGGATGGTTGTAGATCCTTTTCTTGAGGGACTGGCTTTTTCTTTGCAGGTCAGCCTCTGAAGGAAAAATCCCAAACAACCCACTGGCTGTATCTGGCACAGAGCGGATGGACGTGCTTGTGCTTTAGCTGCTGCACTTTCTCAAAGACTTCTGTCAGAACTTTGCCTGCTCCGGGTCTCTAATGTAACCTCTGCTGCAGAGTTCGATGCTGCATCGCTGTGTCTATTCCCTGGGCTTCTGCTTTTCATCAGAGTTTGTGCAAACCAACCCAGAGATGCCTCCTGAGCCCTGCAGGTTGTAGGACAGGCTGAAGGTCTTGAACTAGAAGTTGGTTGTCCTCTGGGTCTTACTCCTCCTCTTATTTTTGCGGGGCAGTTGGTTGTCTTTAGTAGGGACAAGATGATACTGCAGATCAGGCTGCAAACGGGGCTGGAGAAGGGCCTTGTGGAAAGGCAGACCCCAGTCTACTGGGATTGTTAAACAAAAATGTGGGCAAGGCAAGAACAGAGGATGGTGGTAGGGAGCTTTTGGGAGGCTTGAAATGATAACGAGTTCAGACGGGAAAGGGCAGTTGAGGACAGAGGCTGGTCCAAGCCTGCGGTACCAAGGAGGGGCCTGACCTGCAAATGTGCAAGTGGACAGGGTCTGTCCTGATCTTGCTTGTAGAGACAGTTGGGAGTCCCAGCTTTGGGGAGCAGAGCGATCGGGGAAGGGAAGAGGCAAAGACTCGGGTAAATGCAGGAGATCGCTTGGGTGGGCTTTTGGGACTGAGCGCACTCCCTCTCCCAAAAGCAGCCAAACAGATCAGAAGCTCTGCTTGGTCTGAGGATCTCTGGGAGCAATTCGATCTGCTAAAAGCTATTTCTGATGATAAAAAGTAAGTTTCTACTTACACATTTACTTCTTGCCTGGAATGGGCTCGAAGGGTTACTGCAGAGAGCGGCCACTGCTGGTTTTATGTTGGGCTATTGATCTGAGCTTTACCTCATTTGGTACCTCTGCCCAGGGTGAAATTTTTCCTTTCCTCGAGGCAGTTCATAATCCATTTCTGATGGTTCTTGTTGAATACGCCTCAGTGTTTTTGGAGGGCAGATCGATAACTCATGTGCTGCATTACCAAAAGCCTTTCTGAAAAACAAATGTAATGGCAGTAAAACACAACGCTGTTGGGGGCTTGCCTTGATTTGTTTAAAAAGTGAAACAAAAAGAATAAATAGTCGTGGCCTGAGCTTGTTTTTAAGCAGTACAGCTGTTACAATACATACCCAGCATGGATGAGAGGGTGCAGCTTCTGTCGTGGGTGTGAGGATACCGGTGAACTGCTTATTTCTGAGAAACTTCCTGGGGTAAGACACCTTTGCAAATATAAAACTGGCTTCCGAAGAAGCAGATGCAGAGGTGGTGCAGGAGATACTTGCTAGTGGGAACACATCAGTGCACTGGTATAACATTGCTTGTACGAGGCGTTTGCCCTTCTCAAATGGGACACGTTGGACGTGGTAGGGAAGGTGTTTGAGATACTCATAAGAAATTAACGGGCTTTTACAAGCAGGTGATCTGTGCCATGTACGGCAGACCCCCCTCATCCTCCCAAACCTTTTTCCCTCTTCAGCCTGTGGAAAATTTCTAGGTCCTGTTACCCCAAACTATACTGCTTAGTATTGTGTTGCAGGTTGGGTGTAGGGGAGGTACTTGCAAGCGAAACTGCCGGTGTAGGAGCCACCGTATGAGACCAAAGCATTGGTCCTAAAGGGAGATGGTTGTCCCGTTTTCTGGCCATAAAGCAGAGCAGCTTTCAGCTTATTTTACACGGGATTTGGCAAAACTGTGGGAGGAAATTGCAAGGCGGGTTGGAGGCAAGGGGGAGGGTTCAGTTGTGTGTGAGCTGTGGGCTCTTCATAGTGCATGTGGAGCAAGTGGCCAGCTATTTTTAAACTGCAAAACACAATATTTTGCTCTGCTTCGTGCAGGAAAGCTGCAAGTCAGCCATGTTTGACCTCTTCATCGAACAAGCTGTAATTTGTAACCACAGGGGAGGGCGAATGGGAAACCGCAGGGTGTTTTCCATCCATAGGGCTGGACAGAGCTGGCTGCAAAATGCAGAGTGGAAACATGCGATTGATTTGAGCCTTAGGGTGTGATTGCACTGGGTCCTCTGTTAAATCCAGCGTGGGAAGTGAGGAACAGATTTGTCCAGAGCAGTGTATGTATCCTGCGTATGTGTCCTGTACCCTGTACGAGGAATATTTGCCCTGTTTAACTTCAGATGTCTAACTCTAGCTCCCTAAGCAGTGAAAGAGTGTGAATATCCCTCCTTCCTCCACATAAAACCCACAACTCCCCGCAATTCCCATCCTACAGCACTTAGAAACCTTTATAATCTGGTTTGGGCTAGAAATTGGGAGCAGGGTTTGTTGCTTTTCTTTTTAATATGAATTACATAGGGAGGTTTTTGAAAAACCCTTCCTTAGCTTAACAAGCTATTGGATCCAGTGCAGGCGTTGCTGCCCTGACCACGCAGGAGACCAGAGGTTCCTCATATTCTCCTGGCAGATAGATTTCCAACCATGCAAACGAGGGGCTCTTTTTAACAACTGTGTGTTGCACAAACAGAGTGGTACCTAGCCATAAACCAAGGTCTCTTGCAAATGTTGTTGTCATCTATTTGCCTTGGAGGCTGTTGAATCTTGAAGTTTTTCCCGGTGCAGAGTCTTCCTAGCTATACTTTTGGGATAAACGGTGAAGAATTGACAGCTTAATTCTAAAAGGATTTCTCACTCCTTTAATCCTACAGGAGACCTTCAAACAACAGGTCTGTGTTACCAGAAGCAGTCCTTAGCCTGGGTTTATAGCTGGTTTTGGAGGAATGGGTCAGGAATGCTGTTCAGGGAGTGATTTCTAAAGTCATGTTTTAAGAAGTACTCCGAGTCCCTTTGTGCCCACGGGGTGCTGTTTCTCCAACTGCTTCAGGCCCTTGTTGGTTCCTCGCTGTGCTTCCCTACCACATCCCATGGGATCCAACACCCCGATCTCCACCATGGGTTGCGCCCAATGCACCAGGTGCTGCTGTGCATCACTGCTGTGCGTGGGGAAAAATAAGATCATAGAATAGTTTGGGTTGGAAGGGACCTTTAAAGGTCATCTAGTCTGACCCCCGATATTCAGATCCACCTCCCTACCAGACAGTCCTTAGGAAAATAGTGATGTTCTTCTTATAAGTGATACAGTATTTTGTGTCTCCTCTTCCAAAGAAAATGTTTATGTGATTGCCTGTCTGTCTGGTTTCTCTCAATGCCTTTTTAATCTGTTGTTAATTTCCACCAAACTGTATAAAGGGGTAAAAGGGTTGGGGATAACCAGGTTGGTGAAACTTAGCCACTGGGTAGAAGAAAATGGTCATATCTCCTCTCCCACTTAAAGCAAGGCAGGAGAACTCAGTCTAGATGTAGCAGGTCCTGTCACTTGCTTGGCAGGCAGGGTCGTGGGTGTGAGCAGAAATGTTGGGACAGATCAGAAACATTGGGACAGTGGGAATAGGGCTGAGATAAGAACAGGGGATAGGAGGCAGAAAGGGAGGTGGGAAGCAGGAGAAGAGACTAAACGTTTTATGAGCTGTTGGTGAGGTCCAGGGCTGTTGTGGTGGGGAGTGTTTAGAGGAGCTAGGACGCAGATCTGGAAGGAATCGGGCTTCATTTGTTCCTCTGCTCACAGAAAGCCTTGTCTTGCAGAAGCCCAGCTGAAGGAGGTCGAGGAGATGCTGGAACAGGAAGGCTTGTCCGAAATAGCTCACAGTAATGCCAGCGAACAGATTGCTTATTTACTGGTAGAAAGAACGACGCTGCTGGAGAAACTGGAGATCGCAGATCAGAAGTTGAATTCACACAGCTACATAGACAGGCTGTGTGCGGCACAGCTTCAGGTACCTCCTGCTTTAGCTGCTCAGGCTGACCGAAAGCGCGCTGGGGAAAAGGTTGTCTTTGAGATTTTTTTTTTTTTTTTAAGTAAAAATATTTCTCCTATGTGTGAGGACACTGTGGATTCTTAATGCTGAAGTTGATTTCTTTATTAGTTTTCACACTTGTGTATTTACACTTGATTTGCTCCCACATCTTGCATAGGGATAGTGAATAGGATTAATTTTAACAGAGCTAATGTTGAAGAGTTTGTGATGTAGCTGGTCTGAGGATCTTCATTGGGTAATAATGACTTTCTACTAATCCAGATTTCCTGATGATCCAGTATTTTATTTCAGATGACTGAGTTCCCCTGAAAATGATTAATTTAAGAAAAAATCCTTCCCTATACTTAAGGTGAGGTTAAAACTCTTCCCTTGTCTGAGGGAACTCAGACAACTCTTCCCTCTTTCCTTGTTGCTGAGCTAGAGGATGGAAGTTAAGCAAACCTCTGCTTACAAACTCAGTTCAGTAAATAAATTTCACAGCATGACTTGATGATTGGCAGGTTAGAGAGGACCATCCATGTCTTGATTTTTTGCTTTCCGAGGTCGAGATGAAGAATGCTGCCAAATGGTGGAGGAGCAGCAGCTACTGCATGTTGGAGAGAGAGTTTGTGGCTGATCATCTCGGTTAGGGAGATCTCCCTCCCACCAAGGCCACTGATTTCCGCCTACTTCTCCATATGGCCATTTCACAGAACTGGAGCCCAGGAGCTGCTGGCTCTTGTAGCTGTTTCTCCCTCATTGCTGTGCTTGCTGGCCTCATCCGTAACTTACTTCTGACAGCAATGGCTGTCGGATGTACAGGAGCATAAAAATTGCTGCACTGGGCCAGGTCTAGAGCCTGTTTAGCCCTGTGGTATTTCTGATACAGAGCGTTAAGTTTTTCTTCTTTTTCCCAATCTCCTTCTGCCACTTCAGAAGTGGCCAGGCCAGGCCGCCCCTCTGGAGGGAGAGGGGTTGCTCCTGCCTGGGGACCCAGTGGGTGAGCTTAGGGGAGAAGGCTCCAGACTGCAAGGGGGACACGAGAGCAGCCCCCGCAAAGAGCAGGCTGCCAGGAGTCACAGGAAAGCCCTCCTGGGGACAGAGGGGACTGGCAGGGTTTGGTGACCTCCAGCGTCGGACTTGGCTGGAAGCAAGGGCTGCCTGCTGGGGCACAAGTAGGTGGAAAACTTGTGGACAGACCGTTTCGCTTCTGTCTCATTTTCTGTCACTACCTTGAACTTTCTACAGTTTAAAGTTTCTAGTTTTTCATTCTGATAAAACTGGTTTGGAGTTGAAAAGCTTCTTGGCCTTTTTTGGGTGAGTTCTCTGGAGGAGGGAGGCTCGGCACATCCCCTGCACAGCTCAGCTTGGTTTGGTGTTGTGCCATCTGACCAGAAGCCAAGTGCAAAACCTCAGAAGACAGTGTCATAGGAGGGCAGATATGTCCTGACAGTTCATCAGAAATGCTCCCCTCGCCTCCAGTGGCATGCAGTGTCTGAACCAGAGGTGCTATTGTTGTGTCTAGTAGTCCTTGATTAATTTTTCTCTTCCATGAATTTGGTTGCTTGTTAAACCCATGCAGTTTTCTTACATCCCCGACATCTTGTAGCAAGGACTGTCGCAGTTCAGTTACTGTCACATGAAGTTCCTTTGTTTCAACCTACCATCTCCTGGCTTTGTTTGATGCTTTCCAGCTCTTGTATGAAGAGGCAGTGAACAATTGCCTTTTTATCTGCCTTTTCTGTGCCACTTGGTATTTTATCGACCTCAAGAGCATCCCTTTCTGGCTGGAGAGTCCTAGTCTGCCTAACTGTTGTAGGGTTGGGTGTCACTCGGGATTCATCTATGGTACAATAACACCTTCAGATGTAAATATCCACCTCGGAATCAAAGAATCTGTTTGCAGTGAGGCAGAGAAACTTCCCTGATGTGCTGTCTCCCACTCTTGGATAGAAAATGTCTCTCTGCAAATCCTGAATAATCTACCCGTGAATGCCTGTCAGTTGATACAAATGTTTGCTGCATTTTTTCCTACGAAGCAGTGTAATAGAAACCCCACTGTAGTTAAAAAGGGGAAGCAGAGCTGTAACCTTCCAATGAAATGCCAGTTAACCCCATCTGCTACCGAGCCTTTACCAGGTGTGATTGGATTTGCTCTTCCTTCAGTGCCACAGCTGAGTAAGGGACGTAGGGCCGGGCCAGGGCAAATGAAGGATGCAGGTGCCTGCAGGTCTGGTGTTGAATCCAAACCTTCTTGCACGGAGCTCGTCCGTCTGAGGACGCAGCTGACTTCTAGCAGTACCCTCTCAGGACCCTTCTTTCTAATGATCCTGTAATGAACATGTTTCTGTAACAAGACTGGTTTTGAATGCTGGATAAAGGTGGGAAGAGTGTTGTTGCAGCTGGGCTGGGTGAAGGACAGAGCCAAGGCAAAGTCTTGTACGTGGAGATAATATAGGCTGTCTGTGTGTGAAGAACAGTGTGGAGTTTACTTGAATTCCTCCTGGTACGTGGTGCCGGAGTCCCCTAGTAGGTAGGCAGTCCTGTAACTACCTGACTTTTACCCACTTTTCATGCAGCTGTTTAGAGGAGTGAGACTTATTTAAGGAAAATGTATTCTTGCATGATCAAAACGCATTATAAGCTTAATGCTCCTCGTTGCTAATCAAACACAACTTCTCTGCAGTTCTTATACTGGGCACCTTTCTTTCTGTGTTTTTAGAACCAGGTGAAAGACGTATTTTCCAGGAAAACAGTTTCTCTAAAGCAGACTGTTTTTTCTCCCCAGATGATGTCATTGCTGTCCATGCTTGTGAACTAGAAACTGTTGATTAAGCACTCCATTGTTTGAGGTAGCATCACACTTGTTCTGCAGAATCATTAGAGTCACAGCAGTGTTACAGGTTAATAGGTTAATTGCTCTTGCTACTCTGTTTACTGGAACGTGTAGCCTTTCTTATTCTCAAATGACCTGTTACGTACTTGTTTCACTCTTAGACTGCAGGTCCAGATACGTTCCTGACTGTTACAGAAATGAATGCAGCTTTTAGCTAGACTGCTCAAGCATAATTGATTTTTTTGATGCACCCTCACTAATGCAAAAAGCCGGGGTACAAACATGCATCTTTGCATAGTCATCTCTAATATATACGTGGGGAAATGCTTTCTGAGCTCTGGTAGAAGGCATGGCATGTACAAGCACGCTCACCCCTCTAGAGCCAAGGTGCAAAATATTAATGACAACCAACCTCCTGAGCATTAGCAAATCCTTGACGCTGGTTCATGTGTGCAGGCTGCAGGGGAGCAGGAATCTGTTAACTCGATGAGTGGTTCAAAAGAGAGGGACATGGGGAAGTAACCCAGTGTTACTCTGATAAAGTGAGTCAAGCGTACTCAGCACCAATATCTTTCTTTGGGCAAAGCTGAGCCCACAGGCTCTAAAAGGAAGATGCCAAGGAGATCACAGGTTTTTTAAAAAAAAAAAAAAAAAGTAGTGAACCTGCAGAGTTCCCAGTACTAGCTGAGACAAATGAGGGATTTTCACAAGGATTTGGGGTAACTCTGGTTGAAATGTTCTCTTCAAATATAAGGTATGATTACAAACCCGCTTCTAATCAAGATATGTTGAAACTGAAAATCCTACACACTGGTGTCGAGGGATACATTGCCTTGCTTTCTGGTGGTGTTGATTTATTAAAATCTCTTTCTGTGCAAGGATGAGTTTGATCACATTCATCAGACATTAGAAGATGAACTCCAACAACAGCATGAATCGACGCAACTTACTGGAGAGACAATGAATAAGGTAATAAATTTGCACATTTTCTTGCTGATGACGTGGCACGTAGTTGAGATTTCAAGCAGTGGGTCTGTTCTTAAGCACACTTTTATTGTTTTTAGCTGATGGGATGCGAGTGAACTCTGAACCTCAGGCTGTGCAACCACATCAGCCTGGTGCTATGCATGAGTTAATTGCTTCTGCTGAGAGCCAGGGTTAACATCTCACCAGCTTTGGGTCAGGGCTGGCTTGTAAGCACTCATGTGCCTTTAATGGTAGACTCAAAGAAATCTCATTGGAGATGAGTGGACCAAAGTTGAGGGGTGAGAAATAGTTCTTTTTATATCAGCTGAAATGACTTTTCTGCAGAATCACAGGTCGGTGAGAGCAGTCTCTGGCTCCTGCACTCTAGGAGCAAGCGCAGACTGGAGGAGGAGGGTAGCAGTGCCAGGCTGGCTTGGGGCTAGCTCTCACAACGGCCATGGGACCACAAACGTGCAGAACTGACTTGTCCTTGGAGCAAGGTGTGGTGGAGCCCTCTGCTTGGAAAACCTCATATATTATGTGTTTGAAAATGCATCATAATTAATGGCATTGTCTCAGGGAGGGAAAAACAGAGCCTTTTGTAGGGAAACGGCCACACCATGCTGTTCAACACCTGTGTTTTTGCATGGGTCCATGGTGAAGAGGGTTATCCACTGCGTGTCTGTCTCCTGCCTCTGCAGTGGCTTCCCCGAGCTCACCTGCTTTCTGTGTTGGCACCCTTGTTCTGGCGGGTCAGGAGTAGTGCGGACAGCGGACCTGCCTTGGTCACATCCCCGGGAGGGTTATCCCGTTTCCATTGGAGCATTAGCCCTTGTGTTTCAGTCCTACAGGGGAGAGCTGGAGAGGGAACAAGCATCACGTGCGAGAGTTGAACGAGATCTGGATGAGGCCACGCAGAGGCTGATGATGGCTCAGGAAGAGATCCGGAGGTTGACAGATGAGCTGGATGCACAAAGAAAGGAGCAGAGCAAAATAGGTAAGCACTTCTCTTGTGGCCGCTCCTAATTACTGGCCTGCACTTAGCCACCCCTGGTTAGCGTAAGCCTTGGACTTCTCACCCAGGGGAGCTGGAGGCAGGCTGTCCTGTGTCGTCTTTGCTTGTAATGTGGAAAAATCAGTGTCAGATGTTAGCCTGGTACCTAGGAGATCTGAATGCAGTTGTTAACAGTCACAAATCAATTAATTCTGAGTGGGGAAAGCTGAGACATGGGGTTATCTGATCCGTGATTACAGCAGCAGGGTCTTGACTGACTTCCTCTCCCTGGCGCTCATATACAGGGAGAAATTCATGCCCTAGGAGGGGATGGAGAGGAAATGATGACTTGGTCCAGAAACAGAGTAGCTAAAATACCGTGTACGCAGTGTTAGCACAGCTGGAGCGCTCGTCTCTAGGTTCTTCAGATGCTATGTTTGGGATGCTGTCTTGTTAGGAGCCGTTAACAAGTGCTCATAACCAGAGCTTATCAGCAGTCTTGAAGTGACTGGTTAGATTCTTATCACTGCTAATATTTGCTTAACCTCCTTATTGAAATAACTGTTGTTGAGCAGCCCTTAAGTATTACATTTTTTTTTTAAATACTGACTGTAAAAATAAACAGTTTCCTGGAGAGAAATCAAACTACTTGATAAAGCTCCTATTGGAGTGGTCCTTAAAGCCAGGTGCTTCACTGCTACCTCCTACAGGAGATTTCCTGAGCAAAACACTGGTTTCTGGATGGTTTTCCTCTGGTTTAGTTACATTGTCCCAAAATCTGTGCTGCAGAATTTCAGTGGAGAACACCAATATGTGATGAGATAACACATTCCTGCCCCATGTGCCTTTGCAGAGACTGACTCACTTAAGGAGACTGGTACCACCTGGGTAGGGTCTGCGTGTGAATCGCAGGTCCTGATGCTGACCTTGCAGCTCACGCGCAACACTCAGACCTAGCTAAACCTTCTAGCCAGCCTCCAAAACTGTTGTTTACAACCTTTTAATCAAAGGCAGGGAAATGAGCACTCTGCGGGCATCTGCTTTGTGTATCAATTGATACACATGCGTCCCTGGGGATGGAGCGAGTGTGGTGTTGCAGCCTCCAAACAGTACTGCTTCTCCAGATCACGGATGGGCTGCAGCGTGCGACTCCTCTCAGTGGATTGTAGCCTGCGTGGGGAAATCTGTGTTTTATAATCTTCTTAAGTATCAAATGAATATAAGGCTTTCCAAACTGTGAGTAAGGGTTTAATGCTTGTTATGTTTGTGTGGTTTATTATGCTGCGAGTATTAGCGTGCAAAATTAGTGTCATAACATCTTAGTGGCTTCCCCGATGATGTATATCTGCATGCCTTCTCCTTCCGACGAGCTTCAGAGCCAACTGTTCTATAAATAAATTGATTTTTCTAGTAAAAACCTAAAATGAAATCTCTGATCTTCAGTAAAGCTCCACTTAGTGTATTTTGGTTCAATGATAACTTGCAGCTTCTTGCTTGCATTGAAGAGAAAATACAAGATTGCTCCTGGCCGGTTTGTAGCCCAGTTATTGGGTCTCTGGTGATTTTAAATTGTGTGCCTAGCTGTCTGCTGCTTTAATTTTTTTCTTTAGTTTTCCTTCAACTCTGTATTTAACAAAGTGCATTAAAAATGTTGCCGAGTTTTGCGTTCAGAAGCATACCAATGGACTGCCACAGCAAAACTGTCTCTTTATTATCCTTATAGAATCGGCCTCGTGGTCAGCCCTGCAAACACCTGAGAGCCAGGAGGAAGGGGTGAACGAATGGAGAGAGAGTGGTAAGTCATGCTATTTACAAGCAGAGAAGATCCAGAATTTTATCAAGACTTTCTGTAGTGGTAAACAGGCTTTTTGGCAAAATGAACACTTTGGTAGAAGGTATTTCTTGCCTTTTATTTTAAATTACAAAACTGAAAATCCAATATCAAAATCCTTGTTTGAGACAGGGGTTTGGGGTTGTGTGGTGTTTTTGGGTTTTTGGTTTTTTTTTCCAGATTGGGACCAAGAAAGAAGGTATGTTTTTATTTTTGCCCCACTAAAAGTCAAATTAAGCTGAAATTTCCTGTGCCCAGTGTTAAGCTGAAAAGGGAAAAATCTTTTTTCACCTTTTCTGTACGGAAAACTACCTTCTCACTAGTTTTACTTAGGATTAGGATACCAGCATATACGCAGACACATTTCTGTCAGTGTGCTCCTAATACAAACATCTTTTCCTATTTCTTGCACTTGAAATACTAAATAGTCTGCATTAATTGAAATTTCCTGTGCCCAGTGTTAAGCTGAAAAGGGAAAAATCTTTTTTCACCTTTTCTGTACGGAAAACTACCTTCTCACTAGTTTTACTTAGGATTAGGATACCAGCATATACGCAGACACATTTCTGTCAGTGTGCTCCTAATACAAACATCTTTTCCTATTTCTTGCACTTGAAATACTAAATAGTCTGCATTAATTGGTGTGATGGTCGCATATGTTTATTATAATAATATTTATTATTATTCAGGCTTGAAGGGTTGGTATACAACCATAACTTTTACTGTACTGGCCATTTCATAAATATTAATGCTAGCACAACATTGATAGATTAACTGTGATAGTGTTTCTGCTTGCAGCAAATTATGAATTTTATGATGAAAATAAGAAATATGGCTGGTTGGGGTTTTTAAAGCTTACCCTAGTTGTTTGTGAAACCCATACCTAAATATCCGAGGTGAGGCATTTTCCATGATCTAGAGGTAAACTGAATGCCTGGAATAACTATGGAGAGACTGCTGCGTTCCTATAATAAACGTAGCACTGCTGTTGAACCTGGATCTCCAGAAACGTAAACCTCTGCTATTTGAGTTAAGGGAATGTGTTCCCATATGTATGGGGAACTCCCCTCCGTGCTGTTGCACACATACACCTGTGCATAAGGGCACTGCAATTTCAGAAACCTTATTCACGTGATAGCCCCCCTCTGAGCTTGGTCAAGGGCCAAACCGGTGTTGGTGACCAGATTTTTCTGTTCTGCACAGACAGGACTGAGCTACAGAAGGCCATGGAGCACAACAGCAGACTGGACAAGGAAATTGTGGCGCTGCGAGCACGGGTCCAAACGCTCGACTTGGAAAGAAAAGCGTTCCTTGATCTGGTGAGTACCCATCTCCTGCTGCCTGGATCTCCTGGTTTGCCATGGCACCAACGAGCCTCTGCGTAGCTGACGCTCCTGGGCTGGCTCCTGACATTCAGCTCTACTCCTTAATCTGCCCTGCCTCTCTATTTCCCCTCTTTTTTTCTACAGTGAGTCTTTCTAGAGCTGCGGTTCTGATGTTTCCTGGCTCATGGAGTAATAAACTTTGGGAAACGGGTAGAATAAATAACCAAAGAGTTTTTAAAGCAGCTGCTGTTACTGTAGCCCTCCAAAAATTCGGCTCTCATAGCATCCTTCAGTGCAGGGGGAGTTCGATACTTCACCGAACACAGAGGGGGCTGTGCATGCTCAAACTGAGTATGTGCTTTAGGCCTTGCAGCACAGAGCCCTGAAATACATGTTTCCCTGTGCTTGGTGTACAGGATCAGCTCGATGCTTTCTGTTACTAGTCAATGTTTGCACAAAATCAAGTGGGTAAATAAGAGTAAGCAACATTTCTACCTTTTCCTGGGGACTGTTATTAAAGACAGTGAATAAGTTTAGTCTAAACCCCAATACTAGCTATTTTTTAAACAATTTTAAATTTATGCTCATGTTTTGATACCTCTCAGCCTTTTTGGCTTTTTAATGTGGCTACATTGATTTGCTCAGTAGAAGATAAATTACTCCATTTTGTGTGGGCTTTCTTAAGTTAATACCATTACTATTAGTTTAATGTTTGGTGTAATAAATTTAGGATTCTCTAAATGTAATAATCTTTATCAACAAGATAGTTCCTTACTGAGATTGCTAATAGTGAATTAATACAACAATCTGTTTCCCATTAAAATGTGTCATTTGGCACAAATTCTGTTTCTGTTCTTAACTCTGCAACTCTTTACATCAGTCCTTCAGCAGGCTATAATTGGTTGCCAGCAGTCTATAATTACTTACGCCATCCCAGCACAGAGAGCTCAGCAGCTGTCTTGAGGGTCTCTTGGATTAAAATGAGTATTTTTAAATTAATATGAGTATCTCTGAGATTACCATGCCTGTCTCTTTACAATAATATTGAAGACTTAGTTTCTTGAATATAATTTATTTGCATTTGAGGAAATAAAAATTTTAGTATGTAGTTCTGTTCCTTGTGTTTAAAAAAGTTGCTGGTTCTTCCTTAGCATAGTGTCTAAGCACATCTGTAGTCTCAAACCTTGTATTTACAGGACAGTCTGTTTCTGGCTCTGCAAAAAAATACTTAGTTCATATTCCTTGGTTTACATTTTTTATTCCAAATAACGTTTGCTTTGCTTTAGGACATTGCTTCTTTCAGTTACTATGTGTACATGCACACGTGTGTTTGTGTGTATATATTTTTTAATATATATATAAAAAAAGAAATACATATACACAAAAAATATACAGATACATGTAAGGTATTATTTTCTCTGTACAGGAAAAAAATGTAGCCAGGCTGAGATCACTTCCAACCAACGATGTTGTTAAGCCTAAAGCAAATTACCTTTAGTCCTTAGGAATGAGGTTTAACTGTTGGCATAAAAGTTAGAAAACCACGATTTTTAATTTGTAAAAGCTGAAAGTGCACTTTATTATGAGCCACAGGAGTTCTGCATCCTGAAGTCTTTATTTTCTGCCTGTGAGTTATGGGCAGCCGGGTGAGGAGCAGGCTGGCCACCTGGCTCTGGTTTGGTGGTCTGTGGGACACTGACCCCGTCCCTGCTGTGTGCTCCACCAGTCGGAGCGTTGAGCCTTAACCGTGCAGGATCTGGTGTCTGTGTGGTGTGAGTCTGTGTGAGTGGGCTCTGCAGGTGCATGTGGGTGTGGATGGAGGCGTAGCACGAGGCTGAAGAAAGGAAAAATGCATGCTGAGAAGGTGGCGTGTGAAAGCTTTGCAACAGCTGATAGCTCCAGAGACTAGCAGTGCAGTTAAATCTGCAAAAAGTGATAAAGCTGGGACACCTTGCGCGAAGTCCCTGGCGTTGACTGCATGAGGCTCAGATGGCATCCACGTGTGCTGCTGGACACACTTGAAGGGTACAGGCTTATATCTGCATGTGACGAAGGTGAGCACTCTGCAGGACTTCACAACACCCATCCAGAAGCCACTGCGGTACGACCCTGCGCTTCCCAGCAAATGGCTGGGGTTGGCCTCCCAGCTGCCGCTCCAACCGGCAGCCAGGAGGGAGCGTGCGAGTAAGTGACTGTGCGATGTGAACAGTTACCTGCTAATAATAATACTATATTGATCCTATCGACAACAGCAAAGACCAAAAGGTGTCCTCAGAAATAGTGGTTGTCATCTGTCTACCCCTCAGCACGCAATCCTGTTCGGTAAAAGGGGATGTACAACATGTGCATGGTCAGTAATTGAAATAAATGAAGAAAAATTGCTTACCCTTTAATGCAGCGCAGTATTCCCCCTTTTGCTGCTCTTTACCTCTCTAAATAGTCTGAAGCCACCCAGCTGGAGCAGCCACATGATCTCAACCAATCCCTCAAGCTGAGTGGTTCATATTAATAAATCTGCAGTTTATCTACAGCAAATTTGAGGGGAATCTTAATTCTCTAAGACAGCAAGATGAACGTTCACCAAAAATAAAAGCAAGTGTTCTCCTTTTGAAGGTTGAACAGCTCAAAGAGGAGATCTGCGAGTATCAGAAGAGCGAGAAGCAAGGACTTCCATTGCCTGCGCCAACAGAGACTGAAGAAGTCGCAGCATCCTCGCTGCAGGTATTTTCAAGGGCTTTTTGTTTGCCGTTCTAGAAAGCGAATTGAGCAAACAGGCCCCCCCTCTGCATTTCAGACCCATGCCGTAAATGAAGACACACGGCTTGTAGTGCAGAAACGCTTGTGTTTTCCTTTCTACGTATGTGTGAGTGCATCCTATGCAGCTGTGACATAGGGTTTATGCTGGGCATAACAAATACACTAATGTGTAGAGCCTGTCTGTTGGCGTAAGCTAATACCTGCTAGTGCCTCCGTATTATTATGGGTCTTGAGGGGTTTTGCTCCTATGGCCGGTGGATTATCTAATGCAGATAGATGTAGCAGATGTAGCTCATCTTTTCTAGCTCTCCCGTTCATTTATGAGAGACTCGGGTAGCTTTGGAATCACATTGTGCTAAGATTTCAGTCTTAATTATGTGCTAACTTTTTCATTTTCTCATCAGTCGCAGGATACAAAGGATGAAGGGAGGGTTGAAGGAGACCACGTTTCAGGCAAAGTTGGCTCAGATCAAGACGACAGATACCAGAGTAGTGAAACACTTCATAAAAGGTGATCAATTTAGAAATCCTTCTTCACCTGTTGTATTTTCACGGTGGTTATCTGGTGCTCTGGTTGCTGGTATTCTGTCTTGCAGAGTGCATTTAAGTATTGGGTTCTTTAGAATACTCTTGGGTACCAGCTTTGTTCCTCTTCTCCCAGATCAGAAAGTTTGGAGGTAATGCAGTCCTGAGTGGGTCTTGGTATCAAGAATGCGGGCTGTTTTGTGGTACTTTCTCCAGTTTGTTGCTTTTCTAAAAAGAATAGGGTTGGGCTTTTGTGGTTCTCTGCAGACAAAAATGTTGTTTTCAAAATTGTTTTGCTGCTGGGAAGATTTCTCTGGATTTGGTTCCTGTCCAGGGATGTACCAAGACAGCTTGGCTTTCAGACTTAAATATGTAAACTGGGATTTTTAAGGGAAGTCAAAGCTTCATTCTCCTGTGGCCTGCTCAGGAAGCTGCTGCTGCTGCTGAGCCTCTTCTGGCAAGTTCAAGGGGGAAGGGGGGTCTGATCACATCCCTCTGTCCCCCTTCAAATGCCCAAGCCTGTTCCTCCACCTCAAGCAGTTGAATTTGCCATTGCCTCTCTGATGTTAGCATTGTTGTGCCTGACCAGTTTTTTCTCCAGACCTTCATCATTACTTGTGTAGAGCCCATCTCCAATAATTCCCTTGCATCGCCACGTAAATAAGAGCAGGCACAGGTCATGCTGGATGCGAGACTCGAAATTAGCAGGTCAGAAATATTCCATAGTGAAAACCACATTGGCTCTTCCTCGCCAGTGGTAAGCGGTTTGGATGTGTGTCAAAGTGTTTACATAGCAGTTGTAGCCTTGGTGGTGTCGGTCTTTGGTGCGTAGGTGCCGAGAGGTGATTGAAAACATCGAGGGCAGGAATTCACAGCTCCTTCACAAGCTGCAAAAACTGGAGCAGGAGCACGAGGATTTGGTTGAGCGCAATGAAGAGCTGGAATCAATTCTGGGAGAGACACAGATCCAAACCAAGCAGGAGAAGGAACAGTTTGAGAGTGAGGTGGAGGGACTTCACCGGAAAGTAAGTAAGGAATGGAAGAAATACAGTTTGGTTTTGTTTAATTCTAGCTGCTTTTCTCTCTGCATATTGATTAGTAAAATAAAATTATGTTTGACCTAAACCTGCATGCTGCTTTGTTTAGTTTGACAAGAAATGCAACTAACAAAATCTGCCAGTTTCAGAAAAGAGGGGAAAAGAAGGGGAAAAAAAAAAAATTCCAGCAGTGAGTAAATGATGCTTGCTTGGAGGTGCAGATTCCTCCAGTGTCACAGCAGCACTGTCTTTTCCAGCTCCTGTCCCCCCTCCTTGGTGCTTGGGCAGGCAAAGTTAAGTAGCTAACGTACCTCCTGCATCCACAGGAGTGAGACCAGGCAACACTCCCTTCCTACACAGCCTTTCTGTACGTGTGGGCTGTGCACCCTTCAGTTTCTTGGCTGAGCCGAAGCAAAGCCTTTTTGTTTCAAATTCAAGTTGCATCTTTTTTCTCTGGAGCTATTTCTTCTGAACCTCTCGTAGCTTAGAAGCTCTGGTTTCCCCTGAAAGGCTGTCCTAGATGGCATCAGTGCTCCTGATGGACTTCAGTGTCTGTCTCCTGCAAGAACTGCTTTTCCACGTTGGACAGTTGTTTCTTCTGCCTGCAGTTCCTGGTGAAGAACAAGTTCCAGGAAGCCCCGAGTCTTCTTGAGGCTCAGAAGAGAGGCAAGAGGTTTTCCTGAAGCCCATGAGTTGTCCCTTAACCTGACACCCATGACAGAAGTCCAGGCTTTGACTTGAATCCCTAACCCCTCTCCAGATCTGTCCAACAGATGAAAATGCTCAGTGTGGGACACTGATGCTCCTTGATCCCAGGGAAGGTCACCAGTTAAGCATGCTGATGACAAAAGATTGCACTTTCGGCTTTTCCCCAAGCACAGCATCTTGGAGACCTGTCAGCCCATGTGGCAAACACTGAAGCACTTCTGGGTGTGGGGGGCCAGGATCTGCGCTGCCTGGGGACGTCCCTGCTGAGAATAACAAATTCGAGGGGACAGTGAGTTTCTCTCATCACCTGCTATCTCTTGCTGCAGCATCTGCTGTTGAATGGGGCAGGCATGGATGGACACATCTTTTTGAAGAGCTGTGATGAGCTGATACATCTGGAGAAGCTCTGCTCAATCTTGATCGAGATGTGATCTCACCGGTCTCTCTCTTTCCCGTGTCCTACTTGATTTGGGGCACCCTCAACCCAGGGCAATCTGGATCTTTTCCTGTTAGTAGGACAAGAGCATTCAGATCATCCTTTGACTTTAGGAGGTTGATAAAAAGTCTTTGTTATTTCCACTCATTTGCATGTGACAGGCAGGGAACCTCTGTGAAATTGCAGAGGTGAAGCACCATGTTGATTATCTGGTTCACCAGAACCATGGCAACATTGGAGGTCTCCTTGCAACACCTGCAGAGCCATCTCCATCCACGTTTTGAGCAAGGATTAAGTTATTGCTGAAGCTTCTCAGTCTGATGCTGCCTTTGTCAGAGTGGTCTTTAGCCTCGATTTACTGGGTGGACTCTCCATCCCTCTGGAGGTAGCTCCATGAGGAGCACCTGCACTTACTGGCTGGTTTGTGACTGCTTGCCCCCAGGGAAAATACCGTTTGCGGCATTTGTGCAGCATCACTACCTGGGTATGTCATCCCTTACAGACAGGGCAGCTGAAGAATTTATAGCCAGAGAGAACAGAGGAAGCCAGAAGTTGGTCTTGCTAGATGGGTAGGTGGGCTTTCCCCCCAAAAAGGCTGGCTGAGGAGGTCTTTTCCTTTGGCTGAAGCCCTGCTGCTTGGCCAGAAGCTCTTCCTTCCTTGGGCTGAGTTGCTCTCTCCCATCTGCCTGTGGTTAAGAGATGCTCTCTGTGGTGATCATGGTCCTGGATTGCCAGACAGCAGGACCAGTCCGTAGAGGACCTTGGATTTCTGAGGTGAGAAGGAAGGGCACACACAGGTTTTCAATCAGGAGCGAGCGGTGCTCGGACATGTCCAGACACTTGCTGTTGTGTTAAAACATGATGTAGGAGATAGCACAAGTGTGAAGGCATATCCCATGTGAATGCTGAAGTAGCCACACATCTCCAAGATGAATTGTTCAAAGGAAGAAAAGATTAATTACTTGTCAGTAGCCTCTGGCTGTGAGGGGAAAAGTCTCTAAATACAGTGAAACAGACTGAAGGCATGTTCAAATATCTTAATGAAGGATGCCAGCAGACATCACGTTTCTAAGTGTGTAGCTGAGGAGCCAAGGGCAGGCTCTCTGATGGGAATGGGAAAAGGTCTGTCCACCATGACTGCGCTTTTCTTTAAATCAGGGTTTGTTCAGCACACGCTAAAACGTTTCCCACTTTCTCACTGAAGTAGAATAAACACAGACCTCCACAAGTCAAACAAGATGTGTTTCCAGTTTGGAGAAATCCCTTCTTTGCTCAGTGCGTTGTTAAACAGATCCCTGGGAACGCCGCTTTGGGGGACGCAGGGTGAACGCAGCGGGGAGCACCGAGTAGCCAAGGAGATGCAAGGCATTTTGGCTGGCATGAGCTTGGCAGTCACTGTAGCTGAAAAAGAGACAGAAAAGAGGCATGCAGGGCAGCGGAGGAGAGACAGGCAGATTGCGGGATGGAAGAGGAGGTGGGTTAAACCCCAGCTAAATCCAGCATCTGCTCAGATGGAGGGCTGCAGAGCTGCACCCTTCATCTCCAGGGGGCTTTTGGGTGCCTTGGAGGTAATGAGGGAAGGACTGCACGAAGGCAGGTGCACTGGAGCCTGGAGAAAGCAGCGCTGCTGGGTGTTTGCCAGGCTGCCCCATGTGAGAAGGACTTGGAAGTCTTTTCTGTTTTGGCATGCCTACAAAAATCTTGGCTGATTAGGCCACTGACTCAGAACGAGGACACCAGGATACAATGTGAGTATTGTTCTGCCGTTGGCACGGGATTTATGTGCGCAACTTAAATGCTTAAAAGTTAGCAGCTTGGAGGAAAAATAAGCAAAATGATGTAGCTGGGTATCAACTTCATGACCAAAGGTTGGCTGGGGGGTGGGGAGGGGAGGTGTATTTTGCCTTTGAGATCCCTTCCAGAACTCCAAAGCCTTGTTGAACCCCAAACTATCATCTAGTCATGCAAGAAGAAGGGGTTTTATTGCCCTCTAGCTCTTCTGTAAGAGGCCTGGGTGTTTCACCCCACCAGTTTGCTTTTGACACCTAGGCTGGGTAACATCATCTGTCTTAAAAAACAGTATCACAGCAGCTTTCCTCTATATTAGAGATCGTTCCCTGCTGGGAGCTTCAAGAGAACCACCTTGTGCCTGAAGCCTGTCAGTGAAAGCAAAGCTCCTGGGCTTTGACGTGCTGCTTTGTAATCACTTTAAATGGACTGGGATTGGCAGAGACTTGGCAATTCTTCGGCTTTGGCTTCCCATTGGAATGGAATGAAAAACGATCTCTGAATAAGTGCAAAGAAAGGAGGGTGAGAAAGGCATAAGGCATCTTATATGCTTCACCATACACTCATCTGTATGAGTGGGGCGATGGATGTTGCTTGTATGGGTACGGTGTATGCTGTGTGCAGGTGAAGCTGGATTTCATCTGCAGCTGGTCTTCATCTCCTTCCAGTGTCCCCACTCACTCTGCAGCCTCGTTCCGTGAAAGCCCAGCTCGGGCAGTTGGGGAGGCCAGCTCGGTGGTTTAGAAATAAGAAAACCAGCACAAACTTTCTTCTGAGCGTAAGGGGCTGAAAGGAAAGGCTGCTGAATGCTGTGCTGGCTGGCAGTGGAGCAGAGCTGGGCTGCAAGTGCCAAGACTCGGATTTTGCAAAAAGGTCTGCAGGAACCGTAATCAGAAGGAGAAGCTGGACTGCTCCTAGCTCCTTTAAGCCCTTTAAAACTGCAGTTCCCACGAGATCCCCCGCAAGGGTAGATGCCTTGTGGGGGGTGGTGCAAATGTGGAATGAACACTTGTCCAGACAAACTCTTTTCTGCCAGGAGAAGTACAGAGGTCAGTGTTTTGCTGGTTCAAGTCCAGAGTCCTCGGAGCCTTGCAGGAGGCAGTTAACAATATCCTTTGGGCAGTGGAGGGACCAGGACAAGTCCTGGTGGACTGGGTCCAACATCTGCTTGGATGAGATCAGCTGCAGGGGAGTGGGCGCTGCAACGGCATGGGAAAGGAGGATGGCCCACGATATAAATCAGGGTCTTGTGAGGGTCCTCTGTGTCGGGAGAGCAGCATGTAGAAGGCCCGCAAGCTGTGGAGGCCTTGAATTTTCACCATATGTCTGGGTCATTTCTCTCCTTTCGTGGAGCAGGGTTCTTTCATTTTCTGACTTGGCCTTGGATGGCTCCTTCACCCTTTGAAGCAGCAGGATGAAAGCTGTGAGCTGGAGCTAGCCCACGCTGGCGGCTGTCCACGTCCCCTCCTACTCCTTGCTTCCAAACATGGGGCTTATTCTGTAATAGCAGCACAAGGAGCAATTTAGTAGTAGTGCATTTAGTAGTAGTTGTGAGTACTGGTTTGGTTTTAACTTGTGGTTTGTCTATATTAAGATCACAAGTTTAGAAACAGAGTTACTTGAAGTGCAGAAGAACAAAGCTGAGATGAGTGGGGAAGAGCAGGCATCGTCTGGAGCACAAGAGATGCAAGAGGTAAGAGGCTTTCCTTGGGAAAGAAATTGTTTTGTTTAGAAACACATTAAATGAGCATCTCCTGTGAATGCGCTTTGTCACTATCTTCTGAGTATTTGTAGCCCATCAGCTCATGCCAGACAGACGGATGTCTTTGGAGGAAAGCAGCTAACGTGCCAATGTTATCTCTCTGATAACTCATCTCTCTTACAAGATTGTCTTGCCTTCAGCACTGCGGAGCTTGTTGACTCCCCGGTGAGGGTGAAGGGTTTACACATGTAAAGGTGCTTGACTCTCCTTTAGGGTTTAGTGAAACCTAGGTAGTGCATAGGTATGTTTACAAGGCTGTTTCTCAGCTGGGTTTGGGCTGACTTTGCCATCGATTTGTTAGTTGCCAGCCAGACAATTGGATCTGCCAGGTGTCTAAGCCAGACAGAGCTTATTACATGTGGGAGATGACCTTCCCAAGGTATCTTGGGTCAGGTGGAGGTTCGAGGCCTTCAGACATGTCCAGCCAGCCCTGGGTATAAGGTGCGGGAATCCTCCTGGCAACTTTTGAGAACCATTTTTCCCAGCCTTGTTTTTCTAGAAGACACATTTTCTGCAATTTGTTTCTTTTTTGCTAGAATAAATGATGTCGTGGAAGTGACTCTTAATCTTGCTTGTTCCAGATGCTGGAAAGCTGTCAGGAAACAGTAGAAAAGTTGGGAAGTCAGCTGGGAGAGCGGAGAGAACGGAGAAAGCAACTTGCTTCTGAGCTTGAACTGTTACGAGAAGATCTGAAGGCTGAGAAGAAGGTATTGGGCAGCCAGGTATGTATAGCTCCTATGGTGGGACTGCCTGCAGGAGGCAGTTGCCTTTTGTGACTCCATGAAACATCCCCAGTTGCCTCCCAAGTGGGCTGCGTGACTTCTCTTGATGCAAATCTTGATGAGAAATCTCTGGTCCAGCCTGTTTCAAAGCTTCTTTGGTAGATGGTTTTAAATCCATCTGCTTCAATGGAACTGTCTCTAACTCCGTAATTATTTTTCCTTTCAGTGAATCTAATAACAAAACAGTAGTTCAAAGTTTGTAACCAAAGCCCCTTTCTCTAGAGGGCAGAGTGGAAGTTTTCAGACTTAGGTATTTATCGCAGAGTTATTTGTGACCATAAGGCTCATGATCATGAGCCTTCATCTCTCTGTGTCACAACATGGCTGGGTACTTGTAGATTTGAGCCAAGACCTCCCTGCAGAGCAACACCACGGTTACCCGTTAGCAGCGATTGCTTTTCTGAGGTCGATCAACTGGCTAATTCTGAATCTGTTTAACATGGGTCCCCTTTAACGTTAATAGTATCTTTCTTAACCAGAATATGGCATGATACGAAGCCAGAACACGTAAGAGTCAGAGAAGTCTACATGAGCAGCTTGCTGGGATCCCGGCACTGCTTTTTGTTACGTGCCCTAAGGACCTCAGTACACTTTGCTTGAAGTGACTTAACTGCTAGATAGACCTCTGGTGGGTTTATCTCTGCTGGGAGGGTTGCTGGTGCTCTTGTTTTCTGGTTGGGTCATAGAGGAGAGAGAGCGTGTGATGCCAGCAAAATTGCACAAGGGCTGGCACAGAAATAGACAGGATAGGGGCTGAAAATTAGGCTAAAAATTTAGGAGAGCTGCAGATCTGTGGCCTGGATCAGGCAGACAAGGGGGACCAGAGGGAGACGGGCAAAGGGGGGGTTTACATCTATTGCAAACCCCATTTTTTAGCACTCTGAGAGGCCTTAAACCATATTACTTCCTTGAACGTAAGTAAAAAACAATAAAAGTCCTGAACTGTTGGCGCAACTGCACATGCACAAGAGTCTTACTGGAGGAACAGTGGCATCTAGAGGACGGGAATTTTGTAGTGCTGTTAGGCAACGCATTCACACTGTAAAGGCTTGGGGTGCAGAGCAAGCCTTGCCGAAGAGCGGTTTAGGAAGGGGCTAGGTCAGTCTATGAATATGCATATGAAAGGGAATTGTCTGATTTAGAGGATGATGGGGAAAATGGGAAGAGTCACTCTTCAACCTTTGCATCCCAATAGTTCAATCTACTCATGGTCCAGGGACCTTTTAATCAAAATCAAACATCCCTGTAAGTTTGGTTGTAATTCAGCCACCAGTTGGCCGGTGGTTTTGCCTTAGGAGAGGACTGTTTTTCCATCAAAGGGATCATGAGATGAAATCTAATTACCTGTTTTGGACTGGACAGCTGTGACGGTCTTCAAAATAGAGAACTTTGCATGTGTTTGGCGGGATTCCTGACTTCACAAATGGGTTCATTCCCTTTTGCTAGAGTACCTGTATTGGGACGAATCATTTACCAACCGAGTGCTGGAAGTTAGCTTGGCATGAAATCATCGGGTTCTCGTGGGCGATACGCACCTGGAGGTCAAGATCTGAGGTTGTTCAACGTTGTGTTTGTCAGGATGTCCAACACGTAGAATGGGCGAGTAAACTGGAGGGTATTTTTGTTCTTGTAAATTTTAATGATGTACTGTGAACTGATGCTATGCAAAGAGCTCTTTGTTTGAAACTCTCTTCTTGTTTTTAAGAGGTTTTTGGACATTTGAGAAGAGAGCTTTTTCTGAGCTTGTAGCTAGGGGTGTATTACATCCACTAACTCCTGTTGTTTCCTCACCAGAGGTTGCCTGACTCAAAATCAGAGTTTACGAACCATTGTAATAACTTCCCGAGTTTCCAAAGAACATCAGCAAGCAGGGGTCTCATTAACGTATCCCATGAGAAGCTACAAAAAGATAATGCTTTGTTAGATACAGAGGTGAGAAATGTAAAGACATCCCTGTTGTTCTGGTGTCTAATGCAGACAGAAACTGCTAGTGTATATTGCTCAAATATAAATAAATTCATCTTGGTGTAGATAAGAAGACCTGGAGTTGAAATATTAGTGCTGGCATACACTCAGGAAGAGCTATTGATTAAAAAGCTTTAGGAATCAAAGTCATTGCTAGCATTTAGTGGACTTAATAGCATTTTTCTTTGAAGGATTTGGTTTCACCACTGCTTAGCAGGCAATATTAGACTAGGCAGATTCTGGTTCTGATCCAGTCTGGGAGTTCCTGTGTTCTCGTGCCTTCCCTTCTTGCCCCTTTTATTTTCTTGGCATCTTCTCTTCATGTCTCAGGTTTTGGGTCTGCCATTGCCTGGTGTTAAGGCATTAGGTGATGCTGAAAGTGGAGAGCAGCCATCCGTAGAAAGTTGTTTTGGGTTGACTTGGACGGAGGATGCTCTCTGTGTGAGACAGCTGAATGCATACCTTGTACTCTTCCCGTTCTTCCAAGAATTGCTAGTTTTGTAAAGAAATACGGCACATGATATAAAGCCCTGAGAACTACAGATGGGCAACAGAAGGATGAAATCAAATAAAGAAATGTGATTTGATGATGAAAATGTGATTTTTTTTTTTACACGCGGCTACTTCCCATGCAGAAAAAAGGACTTGCGCGTGTATCTTCAAGGGTGAAGAACTACAATAATTTAGCTACAGAATCACAAGCCATGTCTTGATGAAGCCCCCAGATTGCCTTATACTGCTCAAAAGGTTTCCATGAGACCAAAGAAAATCAAAGTCGTGGTGTTTTCTGACCTTACAGGTCTCTGAACTCCTACAAGAAAGAGAACAGATTAACAAACTTGAGCAGAAACATGAAGATCTATGTACAGATGAAAGGATGTATGAAGAAGAGATGGCTAAAGTAGTATTTTTGGAAGAACAGATCAAAAACTTGAGGGATGAACAAGAACTGCTCTGGTAAATCTTAACAAGGCCTGTGGTACTTTCTGCTCCTTATCTTTGCTGACTAATTTTTTAGTCTTTTAAAAATCCCCATAGTGCTGCTTCTGGCAAAAATGGGCACGGCAGCTTTGTGTCTTCCTTATTGGGTAATCGTCTCTCTGGAGAGATTTTGGTGAGTAAGCATTTCCCTTAGTGACATCATGATCAGTCAGGAGTAAACCTTTTTTTCTGCAGCTATTCCAGATTCTGAACAGCATAAATGAGCTGTCCTTAGGGAGGAGGCTTCTTCTCTTGGACTGAGGTAGTATTTGGACTAACACGGTCCCAAAAAGCTCCCATCGTGGGCTGGGGCTCCTTGGGGCTAACTGCTGCCAGCAGCTGATGATATACATCCTGCTGTGGATTTTGGTTGTCCTTGGAGGGCAGGTGTCAGCAGGTGTCGGGGTTGTAAATAAAACTCTTACAAGTCCCCTGACTCCCCTGTTTCAGTAGAGCAATACAAATTTGGAGTTGGAGCATCCATGCTCAGGCTCTCATTAGTAAGTAAGAGCTTGGGTTAAATCCAGTATAGTTACAGTCAGCTCAGTTACCTGGATAACTAGGTACTGAGATAAAGTAAAACCAGGATAAGACAGGTAGGTTAGCTTATAGGGACATACAGTTTGGATCGAGATAAGTGAGACGGCTTGGTCGGGAGACCTGAGCCCGTACTTCCATACAGCGAGGCGTTGTGCAAGTGCTTCTGTGCCGCTTGCGAGCGCAGACCAGCTCACGTGGCCCCATGCGAGTGTTTCCTTAGCCAGCAGTTAACCTACTCGTGAATGACTGAGAGCTGACCCTTTGGACACGCATTTTTTTGTCCAGGGGAGACTGACCCTTGCCCAGAACTGCTAGACCCAGGATTAAATCCCCTTTGGAGCCTCCCGAGACACTTGAGTGTTGCCTTGAGCGTTTCACTGGACTCTTGTATTCCAAGTTTTTCCGCTTCAGAGGGTGGTTTCCCTTGGATGTGTATAGTTATCTCTCTCCTTTACTATTTCTCCTTCAAGTTCTGAATTACTAGAAAGCAACAAGAAGAAGGAGGAGCTAGAAAAGCAGCTAAAAGAGAGCAGTGAAGAAAAACGGTTGTTGCTGGAAGAGATTGCCCAGCTAAAACAAGATATCCTGACTACCCGGGAGCAGGGCGACAGCACGCTTGAAGAGACTTTGAGGATGAATCAAGGCATGGTGCATAGAGAGAACAGGTTTCTCGTGTTGCGGAGCTCTGCAGGCAGTTTAGATGGGAGCGTTAAACAGGTATGGGCAGCTTTGCCATCTGCACCGTACTTTTTTTTCACTAATTTAGTGGAAAAACCTAATTATAGTGTACTGGAAGCCAGTCCTTGCAGTGTTGTAGCGTTAGCATGCTGGGGGAGATGAGAGGCTGACTGATGTGCTTGGGGAAGGTGTTTGGAAATTAGGAATGTCATCATTTCCTTCCGTCATGTTTTTGGACACAGTGGGAACTTGGATAAACTGAATGGCCCCCATAGTACACATGAAAGAAATAGGTTATACAGTCCTTAAATGATGTTTTAAACCTTTTGGAGCTCTTTCTCGGCTCCTTTTTGGAGTGTGAGCAATAGAGCTGGCTTGCTATTACTGCAACAGTCTTGCTCTTGCTGTAGGCAGAAGTTGTTCACCGTCCCTGCTCCTCCTTGGGATTCTCTGCTCTTGCACTCCAGTGCTTGAACTCATCCCACAACTGCTGTCTGCAGTGGCAGCTCACAAGCAGCTGGGTTTTGCTGTGGCCCGTGCCTGTGTTTCAGTTACTGCTCTCCAGTTGCTCTGCCAGCTGGCAGGCAAGACCCCTATTTGTCACTAGGTTTAGCTGTGTTTTAAATGCAATTTGTTCACCTTTCTTATTGTGTGATATAAAAAAGAAGGGGAAGAGCAGCTAGCCCTGCCAAAAGGGGAGGAAATGATGAAGGTACCCAGGATGGGGAGCCTGAGGAGGAGCAAGGATTATATCATAGAATCATAGAATCATGAAGGTTGGAAAAGACCTCTAAAATCGAGTCCAACCATCGACCCAACACCACCATGCCCACTAAACCATGTCCCTAAGTGCCACATCTACACATCTTTTAAATACCTCCAGGGATGGTGACCCCACCACTTTCCTGGCCAGCCTGTTTCAATGTTTAACCACTCTTTCAGTGAAGAAATTTTTCCTAATATCCTATCTAAACCTCCCCTGGTGCAACTTGACGACGTTTGCTCTCGTCCTATCGCTAGTTGCTTGACACCCACCCAACCTCCTTTCAGGTAGTTGTAGAGAGTGATGACATCTCCCCTCAGCCTCCTCTTCTCCAGGCTGAACAACCCCAGTTCCCTCAGCCGCTCCTCATAAGACTTGTTCTCCAGACCCCTCACCAGCCTCGTTGCCCTTCTCTGGACACGCTCCAGCACCTCGACGTCCTTCTTGTAGTGAGGGGCCCAAAACTGAACACAGTATTCGAGGTGCGGCCTCACCAGTGCCGAGTACAGGGGCACGATCACTTCCCTGCTCCTGCTGGCCACACCATTTCTGATACAGGCCAGGATGCCATTGGCCTTCTTGGCCGCCTGGGCACACTGCCGGCTCATGTTCAGCCGGCTGTCGACCAGCACCCCCAGGTCCTTCTCTGCTGGGCAGCTTTCCAGCCACTCTTCCCCAAGCCTGTAGCGCTGCATGGGGTTGTTGTGGCCGAAGTGCAGGACCCGGCACTTGGCCTTGTTGAACCTCATACAGTTGGCCTGGGCCCATCGATCCGGCCTGTGCAGGTCCCTCTGCAGTCCCTATGCAAGAGTTTGAAAGAGAAGAGAGGACAGGGTGGCCTGCAGGCAGGAGTGGCAGTGGAAAGGAGAGGATTAGAGTCATGCTGATACCAAGAAGCAGTAAATCTGTACAGTTAGAGCAGACCGAAGCAAGAGATAAAGTGTAGAGGGGATGGTGAAAAGGATCCAGGTAGAAGCAGGTGGGGAAAAAACCCCACAAAACCTACCTGATCTCGAGGACAAATGACATTGCCAGATCCCACAGTGCTGGATCAAGACTTCCCAGCTTGGGAATTTATCTGGGGATTTATCTGAGAAGGGAAGCTTGATCTTCAGTGGATTTCATCTGGTCCCAAGAACAGAGGGTGAAGACGCAAAGCAGGAATGCAGATGGCTGAAAGTGATGCTGGGAAGAAGGGTTTTGGTGCACCAAACAGGGGAAGAACTTTTAGTCTGTGTACAAGGCACTTGCAAGAAGATGGGTGAACCAAAGAGCTCAATTATCTTCTGAAAGCCATCATAGACCGTCGGTGACCACCTCGTGGTGTCCAGGCTGCTGTCGTGTTGAGCCAGCGTGTCTGTTCCTGTGCCGCTGCCAGGACTCGCTTTGTTCCTGCTGCCTCTGGGAGTTGCAGCTGGATGTGCCACTCCTGCTTAGTTGCCTTAGTGAGACTCTGGCACAAGAGTTAAGAGTAACCTGGGTGGTTTTGCTTTTGTTTGACAGGTTAGCTTTAACAGGGATTTGTTCCCTCATCCAGGTTATTGCATCTTCTCCCTCGACCTCAGGAGTTGTATCGGCTTCTCTGAGGGGATGGACAGGGTAGGGAGCAGGACATAGCGTGGGGGCAGAAGAAATGCTTGCCTGGCTTTACCCATCTTCCTACTTAAATGCCCTTAAATCCTACTGGCATACCTCTACCTTTCTTAATTACCAGTCTTCATCTTCCTTGAAGTTAATTTCCATGTAACCTTTGTTGTTTTACTGTTCCTGCAGAGTCTGTCTGACGAGAGATTCCAGCAGCAGGAGGAAAAAATGCAGCAATTGCGGCAGGACTTGCGTCGCGTTCAGAACTTGTGCAGCTCAGCCGAGAGGGAGCTGAGATACGAAAGGGAGAAGAACATCGACTTACAAAAGCAAAACCTCTTGCTCCAACAGGAATGCACCAAGGTAGGAACAGAGCAGGGAGAACTGTTTGAAGACAGCATCACATCATTTTACAAGCTGTGGGAGGTCTGAGGTGCTGATTTCAACAGACTGGACCTCATTTACATTTGACTGTACAGTACCTGGGAGTCTCAAGCGTGCTCTGTCTCAGCTTCATGGAAATTGCACTGCCTACAAATAAAACTTCGCGTGTGCTGTACTTGCTCCCTGTATTTCTCTTTTATTCTTGTTCACGCTCTGGTAATCCTGTTGTCCCTTTCCTAATCAAGACATTTCAGATGACATATGTTGAAGCGCAAACTTGATTTCTTCTTCTTTTGAAACTCAGGTCAAAGCTGAGCTGAAGCAAGCCCGGGCAAAACTCTCGGACACAACTGAAACATGCTCCTCTCTCTCAGCACAATGGGAAAAAAGCCAGCAGAAGGTCAAAGAACTCGAACAAGAGCTCTTGAAGCGCTTCCAGGCTGATAAACTGCAGAGCAGTCTGCAAGAGAAACTTGCACAGGAGAAATCCAAAGTATGCGAAGCACAAAAAAAGGTAACTTGTCAGTGGGAACTAAGTTAACAGGAGGTATGTTTTTAGCAGTTTCGTGCAGCTGTAGTTCAGAAAAAAGAAGCACTAGCAGCTCATGAATCGGTTCCCTGAAGTCCATTTTGCTAGTCCATTTTGAGATCACTTGGCTAAATATTTTAGGAAAAATGTCTGTTGTTAGCGGGAGCATAATCAAGACAATAGAAGCCAAATCTGATGGCTCAACTCCTGTCTCTAAAGCTCAGTATCTCCGAGAATACCGGTAGTAGGGCTGGCAGACGCAGGGAGCCCAGATCACGTTCTTGCCGAGGAGATTTGCTGCTGTTTGCTATCTGGTAAATTGCAAAAGCTTGTGTTTTCCATGGCATCAATTCTGCCATGTTCCTGCACTAATAGTTGGACTTGGTTTTGAGGTGTGCAGGATCAAATTAGGTGCAAAAAGGATTGTTGCTAATTCATGACGTAGTATCTGATCCAAAATCTGGTAGCCGTTGGAAAGGTTTTACTTTTAATGGACTTCGACACAAAGACATGCAGAAGCACTTGAGTAGAAGCAAGCAAATCTCTCATTCCCATGACTCAGGTACTGAGGGAACAAAGGGATCTGAATCCCTTGGATTCAGATACTGGCCCATAAATTCAGAAAGTTTAATCTGTGTTCAATTTTAATCCGAGATTTCAAAACTCCAGCAAAAGCTAAAAGATTCCCAACACCAACTCCTGCTGGCAGAGGCCCGTGTGTCAGACAAGAAACTCCTGGAGGAGGAATTGAAGGAGGCCCGAGAAAATGAAGCTCGTGTGCAGCAAGAACTTCACGAGGAGCAGCTGAAAAGGTACCCAGAGCTGGGTAAGACCTGTTCTGCGTGCAGAGGGCAGGTGTGTGCCAGCAAATGCTGCTGTGCCAGCCTGCCAGCTGCCTCCTGCAGCTCCCTGCCTGGTCCTAGGTGGGCTCACAGTCACTGCACCACTGGCTTCACCTCCTGTCTCCCCTTTTGACCTGCCAGTGTCCCTGGCAGAGCTCCACAGGATCTCCCCTTTATGAGATTTAAAAGGTTTTTGGAGACTTCAGCTGCCTCAGAAGGTGCATGGCTCCTCTTGCCAGCCCAGTGATTTGGTTTACCCTTTAGATGCCAGCAGTCCCCTTTCCTGTGAGGCTGGGATTGATGATCCCGGATACGTCATGCACCCTTTCACGTGCCCTTGGGACATGGGGACAACCAGGATGTACTGATTTCTTTCTACCCCCAGTGTTGCCCAGGGCAGGTGCAGAGCAGTGTGATGTTGTTTTTAGATCACGGCCAGCCTTGAATTCATGGTGGCACGTCACGGGCTGGCCTCCGTGTCAGTGTCTCACTGTCACACCAACATGCTTTTAGGAAGCTCCTGGAGCAGCAGGTGGAGGAGCTGCGGCAGCAGCTCCGGCATTCACGGGAGACGGAGGCGTCGCTGGCCAAGATGCACGTGGAGCTGCAGGCCAAGACTCTGCACGTCCTAGAAGATGAGAGGAAAACTGACTCGAGCGAGGTGAGCTGCAGCACAGATGGGTCCTCATCACCCAAGGGGATGCTGTGCTGGTGGCTGACTCCAGAGCAGACCACTTGAGCTCTAGGGAGAAATGGGACCATCCTGGTGTGAAATCTGGGTCAAATCCAGCCAGGTGCTGAGCCCTTGCAGATCCCACTGATTTAAACAGCACCTGGAGGAAAAGCACCATCCCATCACGTGTAGGCTTCCTGGGGATGCAGCTCTGAGGGCACGAAAGGGGACTTGATGGCTTCTTCCCCTCTCCCTTCCCCTTTTCTTGCAGAGCATGGAGCTTTTTGCAGGAAAATTTTGGCAGAGTCCGCTGTCTGGGAGGATGCATTACCTCTCTCTGCCCTGTTGAAGCCTACAGCCCCCCCAGCAGCACAGATATCCACACTCCCCCTTCTTTAAGGGGAGGAGGCAGTGGCCTTGGGGGCAAAATGGATGGATATTATCTGTAGTGGGAACCACTAGGATTTATGACAGAGAAGCTTTCGAGACCAGACTGAAAGGAGGCAGAGGGACCCCTACAGCTGAGGACACACACACAAATAAAAAATAGATGTTTTCCAGCACCTCCAGTGTCAGAAGGAGAACCAGAAGCTTTCAGAGCAACTCTCACTGCTGAAGGAGGAAAACAAAGCCCTTTACGAGGAAGGAGTCCGTCTCCTGAACCAGAAGGATCTGTATGTCAGGTAATGACTGAAGCAGCAGGGGATATGTAGACACAAAAAAAACCTACCCAGGAACTGCCATTTATGTGCCTGGCAGTGACACTGGATTTGACTGTTCTGTAGCCTTTCTGGTCTCTCCTGTTCAAGGCATTTAGCACGGAGAGATCTGCCTTGACCTGACACCCCTGCGTGCACTTACGTTATGCATCACATGTCTGCTGTCATGTTCTCCTTGGCAGCTGAAGGCAGCGCAGAAAACGAGGGGGTGCCTAGGGAGGGCTGTGGGTGCTGCTGTTTAGGGTCTGGCATTGGCAGAGATGCTCCATGGAGCTGCTCGTTTCTCCCCAGGGTACTTTCTGTCTAATTTGAAGCACAGTAGCCTTTTTGTCATGAGTTTTGAGCAAACATGGGCAGATGTGGTAGAGATTTCTCTTTCTTTTTTTTTTTTTTTTTACATTATTTTCCCTTCTGTCCCAACGGGATAAAAATAAACAAGAGCACTGCCTAAATGGGACAAGTTTGAGGGGAAGAATAACTATCACAAGTCTCAGTAGACACAAATATTTAACCCCAGTGTCGCAGCTCTAAGGAGCGCCCACTGAAGTAGCTCTTTCTGCAACCTGTTTGCCTGACCCTTGCCGTTTAGGATACTTCTTTGTCTGCCTTTCTCCCCCCCCATACACAAGTACTTTCCCTTAACCACCCACATCCCCACGCAAATAAACAGCTTGCTCCCATTTACCCTTTCCCCGTTACTTCCAGTTTTTGTGACTGTATAACCCTGTTTGGTATGAAGAGCTGAGATGGGCGAGCACAAGGATTTGTAAAGCTGGGAATCAATTTTGGGAGTGCTTTGGGTCCCTTTCCCTCAATCAATTTCCACTTGGTTGACGCTTAACAGCATAACCTTTGCAACAAAAAGAAACCCCAAACTGCTCAGTGAAAAGATATAGTCCAGAAAGTCAGTGCGCTCATCCTGCCTTTAGCTGCGCAGCCAAAAGGAGCTGGGTAGATGGCTGAGGCTCCCAGTTCAGGCTTTGAAGAGCCTCAATAAATACAGGACATCTCCTGCCTTGCTCTTGACCCAGAACACAAAAGCATTTCACAGCCTGATGTTTGTCTCTCTGCCTCTTCAGGAAATACAACGAAATGCAGCTCCGCCACAAAGACAAGATCCGCAGAGCCAAAGAGACCTTTATCCACGAGGTGAAGCAAAGGGACAGCAGAATTAAGCAGCTTGAAAATGAGCTCAGCGAGTCAAAGCTCCAAGTGGAAAAGGTGAGAGAACACATCAAGGGCTTCTCCCGCGAGGGAAGGCAGGGGAGCAGGCGTGTCTGCAGGAGCATCCCTTCTTCCAAAAAGAAACGCAGTTTAGGAAAAAAGGAAATGGGGTTTATGAACAGCTGGTTTGCAGGCAACGGGATTGCACTGTTAAATGACCAGACAGTTGGAGCACGGGGAGCTCTGCCTGATGTGCTGCTCCTGCTCTGTGTGCAGGACTGACGCTGCTCTGGGAAACAGCTGGCAGTGCCAAGGGGCACCAGCCGTCCTTGTAGGAACAAAAAGCCAAAAGGAAATTCCTGGCTCAAGTTTGCCCTCGGGGGGAACCCGTGTCCTCAAATCCCATTCAGAAACTACCTAAGCTCCATCTTCTTTTGCCTCAGGAATATTATTGCTGGGAAGTGACTCAAAAGCTGCTTTTTGGGGTGTGTTACATCAAATAGCATATCACTTCTAGGAGTGAACGTGCTCGGTGGTGACCCCTTTGGTAAAGCGCTCTAAGGTTTACAGAGGACAGAGAAGGGCAAAGCGTAACCACTGGTTGTTATTTCTTTCTGCAACACTGCTCAGGGGAAGGTGCTGATTGCACAGATCACTGCTGAGAATGAGAAATTACTCCAGGAGAGAAGACGGCTCCTCCAGAAGATAACTGACCAAGAGGAGACTCCTTGGAGCAACCGGTCTACGATTGCCACCCTGCAGAGCAGGTAGGCACTTAGTGATGTCCACACCTCTGGGAGCCTGCCTCTTCCCAGCGCTGTTCTGGTTTTATGCCTACTTCTCTTAAGAAATCCAGAGGAAAGCCTGAACTGCGCCCCAGTCACTAGTGCTGTGGGATGTAATTAGCTCCTTTCCCCATCAAAGCCCTCGGCACACAGCTGAAGGCTGTGGAGGCCAAAGGGTCTGAGGTTGAAAAAGAAAATGCCCCTTTGAAAACGTAGCATGGCCGGAAGGAAAATGACTTGTGCCTTGTATGTGTGACGTGCTCAGAGTGAAGATCCTGGACGAGGAGAACGTGCGGCTGCATGAGAGCAAACTCCAGCTCTCCGGCCACGTGCCTACCTCACAGCGCGCGCTGAGGAGCATCCACGCTCCCAACACGGAGGTGAGACTCTGAGAGGGCTTGGCCTCAGCAGACAGGTTGCAGGAGCTGATGTCTCCCGTGAGTGCGGGTCGGTGTTTGTAGCTGCAGCTGAGGGTGCCGGAGAAGAGCTGAATCGATCCTTCGGTTGGGATGGAAATGGCTTTGTTGGTGAGGAGGGACTTTGTGGGGAGCTGAAAGCTCAATACGCTTGCCACACCAGCCCTGTCCCCAAGCTGCTGTGAGATGAGATCCTTTTCACCAGGACAGAAATTTCACTTTGGCTCTTTTGCAGATTTAGAGTTGTTAAAAGACCTTAGCTTTAAAGGTAGCTCTAAAATTAGGAGAAATAACCCAGAGCAGCGTGGTTGGGAACGTTACTCCTGTAAGCCAAAAAACCTCAGACTAAGCTGGCCGATAATATCGACTACACTGAGCAGAATGAAGATATGCCTTAGCTAAAAACTCAGTTTTGGATTGACCAAGTTAATGAAGAGCTTTGGGGGGAGAAATGGAGAAAAATCCAGGAAAGTCAAAGATTGTGTTTCAACAACTCTTTGAATAAAACAGGTGGATTTGAAAGGTTATTGGTACATTCTGAAATTTGGAGGGAACCCAGTTTGGTTGGAAATGAGCTGTTAAGGATGAAAGTGCTGTTTGGGGCCTGGCAGAAAGAGCTGTTTGTGTCTTCCACTGTGTTTTATTTCTTTCTCTTTGTTTCACCCGGGCTAGTTAGTTTTGGCTTTTTTTTTTAGTTTAAATTCAGACCCAAAGGACAAATCTGTGATTAGTACCTCTGTGGGGCTGGAGTGCATGCGGAGAACTGTCAGTGGAGCTGGGGGCACTTTGAAGACCAAGACTGTATGTTGAAATTCAGGGTCTGACATGCACCTCCTCCTTTGAAAGTCTCTGTTCCTCCTTCCAGGACTCGAAGAGTGTTAACTTCTCCGAACGCCAGCTACAGAGTAAGGTGTTGCCATCTCCCCGTACCAGGTACCGTGGGGTAAAAGGAGGCGGCAGGGAATGCCTCTCTGCATGTGGTGAGGGAGAAGTTGAGCATTTTGGCTGCTCCACCCTGTGCTTTCACCTCCAAGGGTCCTTTTTTTTTTTTTTCTTTTGTCAAATTATAGGGAAAACGGTATTAAAAAGACTGTATGAAACTAATGGGATGGAGAAGTAAAATTCTCAAAATACGTCGGGGAACACTGTGGGATTTAGAAATCAGCTTGGTGCCCAGTGGTTTTGGAGGAGTGTCTTTACACAAGATGTTGTGAGGCTTAGAGGACCACTGCTGCCCGAAGCTGCACGACCCACGTCCCAGGCTATGGGGCAGGAGGGAGCTTGAGCTATTTGTCCACCTGTGTAGCCAGGAGCACCACGATCCATGCCAAAACTGGCGAGGGGGAGGCAGAGAGACTCTGCAACTCTGGTCTCTGCTTGCTGGAGACCCGGCACAGCGGGCTTGCTTACAGCCTTCAGGTGCTATGAAGGGTGACGGACAGTCTGTCGCAAGTCAGAGCAGGTTCTGGGGTAGATGGGGGCTCTCAGCTCCTTGGCTGGAGGAAGAGTATCGGAGCCTTAGTCCAAGTGAAAGGCATTGACCGCAGCCCTGCACTGCCTCGCAGAGATGTTGGGAGGAGCGTTGGGGCTGCGCAGAGGGTCAGAGTTTGCAGAATGACTTGAGAGAGGAAATTTGTTTTCAGCTTCCCATCACGAGAACCGCCAGACTCTCTCGGCACCCTGAAGGCCACGCAAGACACGAAGCCTGAAGGAGAAGCTGAAAGCCAAGACTCATCCTTTTGCTTATCCCCCTCTCAACCTTCTGAGATCGGGTACTTAAATGTAGCTTCGCCTGGAGACACCACAGCCTCCCAGCTGCAGGAGGAGAGTCAGAGCATCAGCTCTGAGAACTTCTAAACGGGGAAAGATGTTTGTAAAATACGAGCTGGACTGCAAGGTTTTGGGCCCCTGTTGCTGTGGGATGACAAGGACTGCAGGGGGAGAATTGCCAAATGGACTGACCTGGTGATTTCTGTGATATATTTCAACTAAATTATTCAACAGCTTTTTTTTCAACTTACCCAACTGTAAATGTGTGTGTGTCATCCCAGATCCACCCGGAGGCTGGAATTTGTAGACAAACTCAGTAAAGTGGAAGAGGGGTGGGGTGAAGCGTATCTTCCCCTGAACCCTAATTCCTTGTCCAGTCAAAAACTACAAGCTTTGTAAATAAAACTCAGAAAAGTTCTCTTCCGCACTCTCTGATCTCGACCGCTCCCTGCCATGTGCTTTCTGCACTCTGATCTCGACCGCTCCCTGCCATGTGCCCACTTTCCTCTGTTCCCCTCGGTCTGTGCACGTGAAAGGAGATGGAGGGGACGAGGGAAATGGAATTAGGAGTGTGCGTGGAGAAGGAAGGAGGGGATCTGAACATCCAGAGAAGGAAAGAGGGTAGATCTTGAATGCTTTCTAACAGTGATGGAGGGTCTATGAGGATGCTTGGGTGGGAGTAGAAGGAATCGGACCATGCTGAAGAGGGGTGTAGAGGGGATCTGTGTATGCAAAGAGGGAAGCAGAAAGGATCGGAGTGTGAGCTGTGGGGAAGAGAAGGGATCTGAACACAAGTGAGTGGGAAGAGAAGGGATCTGTGCATACTCAGGAGGACATGGGATGAATAGGAGTCACAGTTTGCGTGAGGGGGAACCAAGGAAACCTGAGCGCTTGGAGGAGGAAGGGGAGAGGTCCTAAAAAATAAGGAATCAGCCTGGAGGGCATCGGAGCGTGTCTGGAGGAGGACGGAGGGGATCTGAACTGGCACCGAGGGCCACGGTGGGGATAAGAGCGGTCCCCAGTGGGAAGAGAGCAGTTCTCTTCTCCCAAGGGAGGGAACAGAGGATCTCTCAGGAAAATGAAGAGGATCTGAGCACGCATCAGTTGAAGTTTATTCAAAAGCCTACTTGGCTCCAACCACAATTCCAAAAAAACTTTTTTTTTTTTCCCCAATCTGCCATGCTCTTTTGTATCCGTGCTGAAATCCAGCGTTAAAACTATCGGCTTGGAATTTGTCTTCTTGCTCTCCACTCAGGCTACTGTTCATACCCATCTCCTGTGGTTGGAGTGTCGGGATGGAGGGATACAGGCTCTTTAGGAAGGACAGGCAGGGGAGACGAGGAGGGGGTGTCGCCCTCTATGTCAATGACCAGCTGGAGTGCCTGGAGCTCTGCCTGGGGATGGATGAGGAGCCGACCGAGAGCTTGTGGGTCAGGATTAAGTTTCATACCCATCTCAAAACAATTTTGAGCAATCTTTTCCCAAAGCATGTGGTCCTCTGCACCTAGGCCTTCTCTGCTTGGGCTACTTGGGGGCAAGGACTCCTGAAACTGTGCGGGTTTTTTTATTTTCAACTTTATTTTTTTTCACCCTGCAAGTCTCCTAATCTTGTTTCTCTGGCAAGCAAGGCACCGTGTTTGTGTCTGCTCAGGTGAGGTTCAACGGTAGTTGTCCGCGACTCTTTGGGTCTCCCTGTGGAGAGAGGGAGACGGGCTGTGGTCACAGTGGGACATCCCGCCTCACCGTGACACCTTATCTCTCCCCACGGCACCCCAAACCGCACTTCCCTGCGAGTCAGGGATGAGCCCAGGCGTGGGGGGCTGCTCTCGCCACCGCTCTGCTCTTGGGAGCTGCTTTGCAGCCAGGAGGAGAAAGCGGAGGCAGGTGCTGCCATCGCGCTGGGGCTGTTTGGTGAGGTGGAGAGGAGGGGTGGAGGAGGTCGGCCAGGAGGAGCTGCAACCATGGAGTGGTTCTCCTCTGCCTTCCTCCGTGCGCTGTCTCCACACCTTGGGGATTTCACAAAGAAGGGTAAGTGCTGCCAGAAGGTCCCGTGCTCTGGACGGATCGCTGTGAACTTGGAGACACCTTCCCGTCGTGGATGGGTGGACGTCCTTGTGCAAAGCCTTCTCGTGTCTTTATTTCAAGTACAGACCTCTGTCCCCAGCAGGGGAGGTCTTCTCATGGGGACGCGGTTAAAACTCAGCTCTGCAGGCTGATTCCTGCATCCTCTGATTTCAGGGGGGAGGCGGTGGTGTAGGATGATGCCTGCATCTGCTGGCTTGGCAAGGTGGTGAGCTTATTGGCTCCAAGCATGGCGTGTCTTCCTCTTCTTCCCCAGAGACCGCAAACATTTGGGATAGCGTGTCGGAGGGCTATCGCCAAGAGCTGCTGATGAACAAGGTGGGGCTGCTTTCCTCGTCCTCCCTCAGGCCCTGATGTGTCCTGACCAGAAAAAAATGCCCCAGAAGGATACTGCAGTGGACAGCTTTGCCAGAGAGCAACTTTTGGGTGAACAGGGAGGAAAAGCAAAGCCCCGCTTTAGACGAAGAACAACATGGGCTTTCTTCTTTGGAGTCTTCCCTAGCCCTGCTGGCAGGGTGTAATGACCAGGCAGAGCACCTGGGGCAGTGTTCAGGGCTCTTCCCAGGGGTTGTCCCTCCTCGGACCTTCTCAGGCTCCAGGTGGTGTGTCCCGCTTGTCCTTCACCTTGCATGCCCTGGGAAGAGGGCGGGAGGGTGAAGAGGAGGAGAGGGGAACAATCTGGAGGGCAAGGCTCTTCTTCAAAGCTTTCCAACGTGCCCCACTACGTCCCTGGGGACTGCAGGGGTGGACAGGCCAACAGTTAACCCTTAGCATGCCCAGACAAGCCTTCACGCTGTTCCCCCATCGGAAAAACTCCAACTTCTGTTTCTTTCTCACTCTTGTTTGCAGACTGTCAGGCTAATGGGCGTGGGCACCGTCTACATTGGGGAAGAGGACTTTTGTAATGATAACAAGGTGACTTTCAAGGTCCAGAGACCCATGTTCCACCTGGCCAAGCCAGTTCTGGTGTGGAACAAGCTCCGCTATGAGACCAGATCATGGCCTGGTAAGAAGAGACCTTCAGACCTGTGCTTCCCCCTTTGTTGCGGCTGGGGTTTCCCTCCACCTCCTCCTTGATAGGGGCAGCAGTCTGCGTGGGGACAGGGTCCCCCAAAGGCAGGCCGATTGCTGCTGAATGGGGAGTCAGTGGGGTGGGAGTAGGGTTGGTGGGCTCTTGATGGGTCGTTGTGCTGAAAGGCGATGTGAGTCTGCTGAAGGGCTGATCGAGTGACTTTGTTGCCAGGTGGTTTTTTCGCAGAGGAATTGGAAGTTGTGGAGCTGATCTGCGCCGAGGCCACCTTACACCTCCACATCCCTGAGAAAAAGGTCTTGAAGTGCGTCGAGGCAACCATGAAAGTCATTGCGTGGGCCTTGACCGAAGGCAAGGACTTTGACTTTGTCTTCAAGAACTTCGGCATCCTGGTGTGCCGAGGAAGGAGAGTGGTCATGAGGTTCTTCGAAGACCTGCTCCGAGATGTGGACAAGACGGGGATCCTGGCTAATGCTTTTCTCCAAGTGAGTTTGTTTTCAGTGCTCCCTCTAACTCCTTTGCAGCCGGGTCAAAGCCATGACCTTGGGCATGTTCAATCCCCTGTCTCTGTCCTTGCAGACATCAAGCCTGAGGCCCTTAGTCATAGCCCACATGGAAACAGCAGTTTTCCAGATGCCTCCTAGGGGGATCTTCGTTTTCCCACAGTGAGTATGTTTGCTTCTGTCGCCCTGGCCTGACCAAGCGAGCAGCTTCTCAGCCCCTCTTTGGACCAGCCACCCAGAGGTGCCAAGGACCAAGTTGCTGGGGCTGGTCGTCTCCTGAAGCTGGTGTGAAGTACCTGTGCCCAAGGAGTGCTTCTCCGTGAAGTCCATGGTCAGTCCTCCTTCTTTGGGAAGCAGGGTGTTGTCAGGTGGAGTCCCAGGGAAGAGGGCCTGCTTTACCTTCCCACCTGCATGGGACATGGAGAGGCAGTGAGGAACCATTTTCCATAAAACTTCATCTGGTCCTTCCCTTTCCTTTGGGTGAGAACGGAATAGAAAAAACCCCAAACCAACCAAGCTCAAGATGTCATCATTTTCAAACGGAGTTTGGTGACGCTCGTTTCCTAATATCTGTTGGCACCTTGTTGTATGTTCTGCTTTGCAAAACTGGAGACTTGACAGTAGCTCAGCTCTCGAGCAGCTCTGGGAGCAGCTTCTTAGTGGCGGCTGCAGGGGACTATGTTGCCCCTTATTGAAACCACTGGCACCTTATTTGCGGGTTTGTGTACAAAAATAAGGCATCTGAAAAAGAACTGGCTGAAAAGGCTGCCCGACGAGGTACCGTAACAATGCACGGACGTCACGTAGAGACGCAAGAGTGTGTTCCCCACACATGACTCCACCTCCCCAATGCGAGAGGTTCTCCAAAGTGAGCAGCATGTCCCAGCTCACCCCCTTTTCCAAACGGGGACCCAAGCAAGGAAGCAATGGGACAGGAACTGCTCAGGGAGCAGCGTGGCCCTGTAAAAAGGGAGGGCTGGGAAATAGTGGTAGTCGGAAAGGGCCGAGACGGTCCTAGGAAGCCTGTGTCCAAGGGCTGAAGAGTCCAGGCCAGGCACTAGTAGCACACGCGTGCAGAGATGGCACGTCTGTCTTGCGGGAAGTGTCCCAGAGGTGCAGCTGTGAGGAGCTTCCTGGTTTTGTGCTTTCAGCAGCTCGTCGTGGCGAGCGCCTGCTCTCCCGAGGGCGTCTTTCTCCCGTCCGGACAAGTGGCCTTGGTCTCATGGGAGAAAAGAGGAGAAACGCAGGGACTGCAGCAGGCACCATAAGGTGAGACTCTTCAGCCACACCTGAGCAGTACAGCTCATGGCTGTCTCGTCCTGGTTTTGACCTGAGGGTATTTCCTAGCCTAGACATAGCTCTCGTGCAGGACTGCCTTGTGCTGCCTGCACGGGGTTGGTCCGTGAGCACCAGCTGAAGAACAGGCTCCTGCCGTTCTCATACAAGCTCCTTGCGCGGTGTGTTTGCAGTGTGCTGCCGCCAGTTGAGGGGAGCCGTGCAGAGAAACGCAAGGAAGCCAAAGGGACAGACCATCCCGAAGTCAGGCTCCCTGCTCTGGACAGTCAGATGGGAGCAGCAGTGGTACGTGGTACAGGTGGATGTAATGGTGGTGTCACGTGTAGGAAAACATGGTTCTATGGAGAGGGTGTCCTCAAAGACACCCCCTACACTGCGGACGTGTTCATCCCATCACTCCTGGCTCTTCCTTTCCATCTGGCCAATGACTCCATCTGTTCACACCACACTTGGTTTCCATGTGGACCCTCCTGGTTCCCCAGCTCCTGCCCCAGGGTCCCTGCTGGGGCACTTCTCCTCCC